AATTTGAAACAATATATTGGTTTTACTTAATGATGTGACAAATTTTTAATTGACTTTTAGGAAATCAAGAATGGCGATTAAAAATGGCCATTAGTAAACTTGAAGAGAAACTTCAAAATAAACTTGAAAGCAGAAAAGTTGTTGGCAGGGTAAGTGATGTTGTCCATCAAACACCTCCACTACATATTAGTGCCAGAAGAGTAACTTTTCCATGGCAGAGAGGCTTTAAAATAGGTATGTATTGATTATTTACTTACATATAAATGCTTAGAAAAGAATTTGTAGTTTTACAATAGCAATTTTTAGAATATGATTAAAATTGAGACACTTGTTCATTTGAAATTGAATGCTTTTTATTGTATATTAATTTGTGTCAGTGTCTGACTGGTTTTATTTTCATCTCAGTTGCACGAAGAGAATAACTTGGGCCTTGCCATTCATACCAATAAATACCTTGGTATTCTTGTTGAGTTAAACCACCAAGATATTGACCATTTAGGTTACTTGCATCACATTGATTATACCACCATCCACCTTTATGATCTTTTGCACAGCTTCCTCCAACCCACTTGTCATTGTCAGCATCCAGAGTTGAAAACTCCATTGAAACATGATAACTCATTCCGTCTCCTAAAGAAAAATTATTTTTATTACATTCTATGCTAATATTTATTTATCATATCTAGATCTAAAAATATTTTGGAAAGAATATTATAATTAAGTCAATAAAAATGTGAGTCTTTGTTAAAATGATCAGAAATGAAGTCAAAATAGTTATTAATGTTTAGAATAAAATATAATTAAAATAAAACAAAAATAAGAACAATGAAATTTCTTATTTTAAGATAAAATTTAAGACAACTTTCTGAAGACTTTCACTTTATAATGTAGCAGATTATAATATCATTTAAGAAATTTTACAGTAATATTATTTAATCAGATATTATCTTATATTGTTTTTTCAAAAATCTGTTCAAATAATATATTGAAAAAACATGTCTAGATCATTATCTAGATTTGTCTGAATTATTTCTGGTTAGTTTACAAATTTACATATTGCTCAAGATCCTTTGTACGAGTGCTCATATATATTCAATTTACTTTTTTTAAGACATGTTCTTTAATTAATTAATCTTTACTTTATTTGTGTATGTTCTGTTAGTTTTGCTTGTTGGAATCCTAAATAGTTGTAGAACTCGCCCTCTTCCATGGATTCAATAACATCTCCAATTCCAAGTGCAAAATATTCTTTCTTCAGGACTCCTTTTCTGTGTGAAGTATTTTGCATATGTCTAGGCCAGGAATTCTCAACTGGGGTCCATGTAACATTACTGGGGATCCACAGAAAAAAAAAATACCGAATTGGGGATTTATGTGATATTTTAGTGGTCTGTAGGGTAATTCTACTTCAGAACAATTGTTTTACTGAAAATTAAATTTCTACAGTATATATATTGTCAATTTATTTATTACTCATTTCTTGCATAAGGGTTAAAATATAAATTATTTAAAATATTGAATACGTAAATGACATATATATCTAATTGACAAAAATCAAAGAGATTATAAAACTGGGGTCTGTTAGGAGAATCTTATATCATCAGTGCATTTCTTAATGTTTTGTGTCAGTTTGTTCTAGGTCTTGAAGATTAGGGAGGGAGGTTATAAACTTTATACTGGAGGGAGACTATAATCAGTTTATTTTAACCCTAACTTCAGTTCTGTGCAAAACTCAATCTTGACAAGGTAAGATGTATTAAAAGTGCTAGTTCATAAATACAGTAGTTACTTTTTCTGAAATTCAGAGCTTCAGTATTAAAATATTTTTCCAATTTGAAACAATATAATGAAAAAAATATGAGGTTTTTTCTGAGCAATCTATGTGGGTCCACGAAAAAAAATTAAGAGGAAAAGGGGTTCATGGGTTAAGAAGTTGAGAACCTCTTCAGGGGTTCTCAACTTCTTAACCCATGAACCCCTCAACTTCTTAACCCATGAACCCCTTTTCCTCTTAACAAAAAAGGTTGAGAACCCCTGAAGGGGTTCTCAACCTTTTTTGGGTTCACACTTAGATCTGGTTACTACCATAATAAATATCTCCACAGAATGTGGGTGTGGTCACTCTTAGCTTCATTTCTCCCCATAGACCTTACTGGCATGAGTGTCTCTATCAGGAGCTTGTGCTCCAGCCTACATTGCTCTATGGATCAGTAAAATTACTGGGCTCTCCCATCACAACCAGGTGGTGGTGACCATGGGAGAGTTGTTAATAATAATAACACCAGTCTCAAAGAAATTTGAGTATGGCGTGGATAGACTATCAGAAGCCTACGATAGTGTATCACACAAATGGCTTCTTAAAATTCTTGATATTTATAAATGTCCATCTATGGTTAAAAGATTCTTCCAAATGACTATGACTACATGGAGAGTGATCATGGCTCCCAGGATTTAATCATTACTCAACTGATTTACATAAGATGCAGAATATTTCAGGGCAATTCTCTCTCTCTTCGCTGTTGTTCTGCCTGGCTATAAACCCTCTTTCATTCATACTAAATAAGTATGAAAGGAAAGATTATAAATTGAAAAATAGTATCTGAATTAATCATCTCTTATATATGAATGACCTTAAGGTTTATGCATGTAGTAGAAATAATCTAAAAGTATTACTGGATAGTGTTGAGATTTTTACAAGTGATATAGAGATGGAGTTTGGACTAGATAAATGTAAAGTACTACACATAACTGCAGGACACAGTAGTAGTGCTGTGGGTGAAGGACCTATACTACTGAGTGGAGAAATTTTCAAGCAACTTGCAATTGGTGATAGATATAAATACTTGGGTGTACAAGAATCAGGAAAACTAGAGCATAGCATCATTAGAGAACAGATAACAAAAGAATATTTTAGAAGGATTAAAAAACTTTTATTAAATATCACAAATTAAGGTCTGTATTTAAAAGGTATAAATACGTATGCTATCCTGGTCTTGCTTTACTCATTTGGTATAATCAACTATAAAAATAGTGATCTAAAGAAAATAATGTTAAAACATGAAAATTACTAGCAATTAAAAAGGCACATCAGCAAAAAGCAGAGGTAGAAAGACTGTACTTGCCAGTAAATCAAGGAGGAAGAGGACAATTAAATATAGAGTACATGTATAAAGCACAAACAGTTAAATATAAACAATACTTAAAAGAGGAAAGAGATCATCTGGTCAAAGTAATAGCAAAGCATGATATAAATAGGGATAAATATTCAATAATAAAAGAAGTGCAAGTGGTAGAAGGTGAATTATATTTACCACAAGGAAATATACATACAGATGAAGAAATTAAAAAATCAATAGTAAAATGGCATAATGTTGTTTGACCGTGAAATTGTTTATTTCTCCAATTTCCTAAAAAGGTGTTAGATCAGGGTAGTATAGATAGAGAGTTTGCGTTTGAATGGATTAAAAAGCAACAAATTGCCTCAAGTATTGAATCATTAATATTTGCTATACAGGACCAGGGTGTTATGACACAACAATATCAATATGGACAATCTTAAAGGAGCCAGTGGACAGGAAATGTTGCCTATATGTGACTAAAGACGAGACCATGCAGCATATTACATCAGGATGCGAAAAACAGGCGGGGATTGTTATGTAAGACATCATAATAACCTTGCCCAGTATGTCTACTTGTGCCTGACCCGAAAATAGAAGTTGCTGGCCAATGATAGAAGGAAATATTACTCCAGCCACAGGTTAATTAAGGAAAGTGATTTGACCAAGATCCTATGGGAAATGCCTGTCCAAACTGATGTCACTATCTCACAATAGACCAGATTTAATTTATGTTGATAAAAAGTGCAATAAAACATTTTTAATAGATATAACTGTACCATCAGATTATAACATTGGTGCTAAAGAAATTGAAAAATTGAGTAAATATCATTTTTTGAAATCGGAATTTCAAACTAAATTCCAATAGTAATAGGAGCAACAGATATAGTAGTAAAAAACATAAAGAAATACATAGATCAATTAGAAGTCAACATTGATATTAGTATTCTTCAGAAACAGGCAGCTATACACACATCGCTTATACTAAATAGAGTACTTGGAGATGCTATCTTTGAGGTCAGTACAACAGATCAACTCAAGCATGATATACAGCAATCCCAAGGCATACAGCAATCATCAGATGTGCATCATTCATTAGTTAATCTGGATTTATCTAATATGACTTTTGAGACTAGTACACAAAGCTCATCTGGAAACTTGTTGAGAAGAGGAACTATTTGCACATGCAGTGCAATTAATACAGAAAAGGGGGAAATAGGTACCTTCTTTCCCGTGGGTTACAGGATGAGGTATTCTTTATTCCGACATAATTTGTGAATATTTTAAAGAAATAATAATAATTAAAAAATTTGATTATCCTCACCTGCATCTCCAGAAGTAAATTTTCCTAATATTTTTAACATGTAATTTTCTTTTTCACTCCCAATTGCAAATGCACTGTATTTTGCATAAGCTTTTCCATCATCAAAATCATACAAATCGATTCTCAATTCATATAAATCTTGATTTGTGAGAAGATGAAGATTATCATTACCTGTGATTAAACAACAATATGCAATATGATTTTATTAAAAATTAAATTTTATTGTGTGATAGTTTAATATCTTAATTTCATTTTGTGACAGTTTAATACCTTATTTTAAAATAAGGTATCTGCATTTAGCAAGGGCACCTAGTTACACAAGCATTAGTTGGTGCTTTTAATCCAGACATAAGTTAAATACATATAAAAAGAGCATACACTTAAAAACTAAACTACACATTCGTTGTATTCTATTTTAATTTTGCTATTTTGAAAAAAAATATCTGCAATTTTGAGATTCTAGAAATATTTTGTTTAGAGTTTTGCTTTCAATTTATGTTGCTTTCATTAATATATTGAACTGTAATAAAATTTAGAGTTGAAACATGAATTATAATATTTTTATTTTATCTAATTTTCTCCTTTGAATTTAGCAATTAATTCTATTGTGACAGCCAGATAGCCAAGACAGTTAAGTTGGGGATTGAATCTGGGCTGTCAAAAACCCCAAAAAATTTTTCATAGGTGATCGATCTGTTCTAGATATATTGAGCTCCATCCTTCACCATTCAGCCATCCCCATTTGGGTCTGGCCAAATTCACAATGGGTATTATTAAAAAATGGCCATCTTAATGTCCACAGAGCAAAAAGATTTAAATGAGAAAAAAATTTTATTACTATAGTACTTTTGATTCAAGGATAATATTTCTGTAGAAACTGATGGTACCTGCATTTGTGAACAAAAAAAGCTTTAAACTCAAAAGTCATCTGTTAAATTATATAGAATACAAAGTAATTTCTAACATTTCTAATAAATATTTAACATGAAAGAATAAGTAACATTATAAACATGCAGCTATACATCAAATGTCAAGTATAATGTAACTTGAAAAACTTTCTTTTTGACATCTGTTGAAAATATAACAAACATTGATTTTGTATTTTGTTCAAAAAATACAAGACAATTTGAATGTGTTGTATATTTAAGAAAATGTCTAAATCTTGTTTTAGCTACCTAAACAAACTTATAAAATGCACATTTCTCTTTTTTAACATATCAAGTTTCATTATTAATAAGAAAAAATCAAAACTTTCCTTTGTACTTTTCAAAAAATTTTAATTTAATTAAATGCTCAACAGTTCAACATGTTTCAATTAATAATAATTAAGAAAGAATTATTATTAATTGAAGCAATTTATAGTCACAAAAAACAATTTAATATAAAATCTTAATCCTAATATGAAACTTTTTCAAAAATTTCAAAGCTAGAATTAGTAACAACAACAATTAATAACACGATTGTCACTAAAAAATTACCTAAATCTGTGACTATCACTTAAATAATACTAATAATATATTTATTAATTAAAACTTAAACATTAACTCTTAATTCTTATCAAATTTTAAAGTTTTGAACCTATGAAACCTATCCTATGGAACCTATCAAACCTATGAAAAATTTTTTGAGGTTTTTGACAGCCCAGATTCAATCCCCAACTTAGCTGTCTTGGCTATCTGGCTGTCACAATAGAATTAATTGCTAAATTCAAAGGAGAAAATTAGATAGAATAAAAATATTATAATTCATGTTTCAACTCTAAATTTTATTACAGTTTAATATATTAATGAAAGCAACATAAATTGAAAGCAAAACTCTAAACAAAATATTTCTAGAATCTCAAAATTGCAGATATTTTTTTTCAAACTAGCAAAATTAAAATAGAATACAATGAATGTGTAGTGTAGTTTAGTTTAGTTTAGTAGAATGTGTAGTTTAGTGTATGCTCTTTTTATATGTATTTAACTTATGTCTGGATTAAAAGTACCAACTAATGCTTGTGTAACTAGGTGCCCTTGCTAAATGCAGATTTCCTCAAGGCTCCCTATGTCAATTCTAACAAGTACTGTACATTAAATTCTAACATTATAAAAATTTTATAACATTTTATGGCGCCCCTGTGAGGAAGCCACGGCACACACTTTGGAAACTGCTGGGTTATGGAATGTTACATAGAACAAAATTTAAATAAAATAGAACTCATTAAATTTGTGCTATGGTCACAAGTTTAAAAGAATGTTGAAAAAATTTAAAATAAAATACAAAACAATATAACAGGAATTAAAGAAAGTATGTAAGTACAAATAAAAATAAAAATATTTTTAGTTACTTTAATTTTGTTATTTCTTTTTATAAGATTATAAATTGCATAAAAAGCCTTTCATTTGTAAGATTTTGAAACTTTATAAAATTACTAAATTGTATTTAAATAAAAGCATAAATTTTTAAAGAAGTTAAATTTTTCTACTCACACTGCAATAAACAATTACATATTATATTAAAAACTGGAAATATTTTCTTCATTTTCAAATAAAATATTTATTATATTTCAATAATAATAATCTGACATGTTAGTAAGATTATGTATCACTGTATTCTGATAATTTTGCAACAGGTGAATTAATAGCATCAGTTATCAAAAAAAATAAAGAATTAATAATAATTAAAACACCAAATTACCAAGCCAATATTCTCCTTCAGTATTTCCAAATCCATGTTTATAGTCTATCCAATTTCTCAAAAAATCCACACTTCCATCACTTCTTCTTTGAAATACCTATATTAAAAATAGTTATCAAATGATTTTGGGTATATAATTAAGCCAGTTTTAAATTGAATTAAAAAATTATTTTATAAATTTACATTAATTTTTCTATAGATGAATATATTGTTTTATAATTTTACATTAGTTGTTGTTAGCTATAACATAATGAAGGGTGTATGAGAAATACAACATACACTATTGTTATCATCTTGTGATGTAATTTAGATATAGGCTTATTTCTTTTTTGACTTCTGCTCTTTATGCATAATGGATTGACATTGAATTCTTGGTGGCCCTTAGGATGTCCAAATGATGCTCCAACTCCTGCTATGTGTTTTGCTGCATCTGAGGTGTGACTTGCCTAATAGTTGTCACAGTGTGTCCTCAGTTCCCATGTTCTGCATGGGTATGGAATAGACATTGCCTTTAATTAATGTAACCCCGCAGGAAAAATTGAGCAGAGTGAGGTTTGGTAATGATGCTTGCCATGGATAGATCCTCTCTGACTAATCTAGCATTTTGGAAATTCTTGGTTAGGAATTTCTTGATGATCAATCTTAAAGTGCACTACACATTAACTAGGAGTTGTCATGCACATATTTTTAGCATGCACGAAGGTTCTTAGACACCCACACCTTCATATTGTCCCTGTTGACCTTCTCTAATAGATTGAATGGAGTATTGGTGGAGAAGCAGATTCATGCTAGGTACTAGTTGTCATTTCTTGATTTTCTCTAACTCATTTGTTGCATTGGCATAGATAGTCATCTGGTAAGTTCAAGTGCCTTCAGCATCTGCAGTTTGTAGGCATACAAATGGAGATGTTTACATACCATATTATGCAAGCCAAATCACAATCAGCAGAGAGAAAAAATATTGATTAGTTTAAAAATGCACAAATGTTTTCAGCCTGATTAATGTTTCTCAGCAGTCATGGAGACCTAATTGAACCAGTGTTTATAAACTTTTTATGCAAATGTTTGATACTTCTGAAATGTAGCAAATTTCTTTGATGCATATTGTGAGATCATAGGTTTGAGTTTGCCCAAAAAAAAAAAAAATAGAAAAATGTTTAAGCCTAATTCTCCGTTGCAATTGTTAGAAAAATATTGCTCGAAAAACAGATCAGATGACGCTCTTTCTGTCAACAAATGGACAAGAAATCTGACAGCCAAGTACAAATTGATAACATCTGATTGTTAGGAGAGTGAAAGTCAAGCGTTGAACAAATTAACAGAGGATTCTCGCAGGTCCCAACCAAATATGGGCACGACAACTGCAATCAAATGACATCTTTACATCATCAATGGCTCACCTCCGATCTAATACCTGCAAAATTAACCTTTGTCTTTAACAACAGTAGATCACATGAGCACTTTTCCAGGCTAAACCAAATAAAAGGAATAGACACTGGCACTTCAGGGCGTTCATCCCAAGGAGGTAGTGTTAGTCCTTAGCCCCTCGTTGGCCATACGTAGCGGACACCAGTGGACTATCCCAAGATGTCATGCAATAGGTGCACATCTCCGGTTTCAACGGATGTCACCATAGGAAGGCACCCAAAAGGAAGACAGATAGACTCATTATTATTCACCGCTTCCCGTTCCGAGGTATCTTGTTAGCCAATTGTTTGTAAACTCTCTCTCTCTCTCTAGTTCAAGATTAATCAGGCATCTTGCGGCATAGGAAGTAGAATAGTCACAACACCTTGTAAGATTTGATATTATCTGCATGTAATTGCTATATTTAGTCATCTAGCTTGTATTTTCTTATGTATCCTAGGTTAGATATATATTAAACTTTTGTTTTGTTTGTTAAACCTGTTTGCTTGTCTCTCACTTGAGAAAATGGTGTCCATTTTCCCAAGTGAGAGTGACACCCTCTCGACTTACCCATGTGCACTCCCCACTTAAAATTAATTGATGCTCCTACTCATCATTTAAGAATCGTGAGTTAGGACGGGATTTAGCATTATCCTAACTGGTGTCAGTCCTGATGTTGGATGGATCTCACAATCCTGCCAACCCTCCCTTGAAAGCCATCCACAGACAATGAGATCAGGTCTTACCGACCTGTTACCGAGTAAGTGGTTTATAGGCCCCTTGGCCCTGGCTTATCTCACAATATGATGGAAGTTTGATTGCATGGCATAAACAAACTTTCTCTTAATAAACTGAGACACACACTACACCTTCTCTTATGGTGTCACCATTCTGTCATTGTTTTATGTCACATTGCCTGCACTGCCCTACAATATGTATTTACTAACAAAAACTTGGAGTAATTCATTGCTAAAGATGATGCGTTGCCATTTCATATCAAGTCAGTTTTTGTTATGGCACCACTGCAAAGTTGAGATGTGAATGGCAAAATATGTAGTGATTACCATGCATGCAAATTTGTCTGTCAATGGTACAAGAAGAGACATGTTCTATAACTAGGTTTCTGTCTGTTTCTGGATATCATTACATTTGCAATAATAAAGTTTTATTTGATTCCAAAGCCTTCTTCTTGGTGCAAAATTTTAGTTTTCAATAAGTATGTAATAACGATATTATCCATGTTAAAATCTTTCCTATTTATTTTTTTCTATTTTTATTATATCTGCTAACAGCTAATAGTCAGGTCAAAATGGCTCAGATGCAGGCAATTTGGGGAAATGGTCACTCTGCTTCCTTCAGCCTAATGATGTAGTCTTTATCAAGCTCTGTCAGCTGTGCATGTCTGACTATCATAGAGGCATGCCTGGAATTGGAAGTTTTCCAAACAATAGGTATACTAGAAAAAGAGTCTCTGCAAGTTTTTCTATACAATACTCTGACATTGTAATCTTACAATGACATTACAATTGTAATCTTATTGCACTCCAGGTAATCATAACTATCTGTTTGAGACATAGCTGAATGCCAAATTTTGCAGTAATCAGACATTTCTATATTTATGTGTAATTCTTTGTCAATGAGTGTATAAGTGGGAATGTGTAATAATACCATATTTTCATGGATTGACTGGCACGCTGCATATAACTGAGGAGAAAACAATGCCAGAAACCCCAGGATTACCAGTATGCTGGTTAAACTGCAATTAAAATATAAAATTAATCAGATTTAACAAAATTAGTTGTTAAATAAATGTTAAAGAAAATATTCTTCTAAGTACAATAAAATAATAGCATTGCAATTTGACTGAAGAGAATTTTCATTTACAGGACAATAAAACAATTAGTGGCTTATTAACATCAGTAGTATTAGTAGTTAGTCAGTGTGGGCTGCACTGACAATCTACCCTGACCCCAAAAGATAACAGCATCCTCTCAAATTTCACAAAAAGCAGATATTAATCAGGGTGTGTTTACTTCTGACCGAATAGTGCTACTTCTAAACACTGGAAGTGATGTCATTAGCATTTGTATTTGTGCTTATATGTCCTTTTGAAAGTAAACGTGAATGCTAACAAGAAATATGGCAGTTTCCTGCAAATAATATTGTCAAAGCTGCTATTTTAAATGTTATGTTACAGATAGAACTACTTGATTCTGAATCAGACGAGGATGATTTTATTGTGGATATAATTGTAGAAAAAATGAAAAAAGAAAAGTAAGGTCAAATAGTAAAAGAAACTTTTATTGAAGAGACTGTACCTTTTTATAATCCAACCAATTTTAAACAGCATCAAAATTGGGCTTATTTTTTAAAGGAGACTTGCAAGAGAATATTTTGAAAGTCTCCTTTAAAAAATAAGCCCAATTTTAGACACAGATGGGTCATCTTCCAGAGGAAGTAATTTATGTCTCATCAAAAGCAGATTTTATACTTCCTATGGACATTGGCAAATCAAGAATCATTCAGGTTTGTTTATACGAAGCAATATATGAAATTAGATGCAGTATATAAGAGAATAGCAGATTATATATTTATATATAATAATACATATTTAATGCGATTGTTTTATTACCCAAGTGAAAGGATGTGATGTTGCTCTTTTATGGTGTAACTAAACTGAGTTTAAAATCATCAACAAGTAATTGATATTAAATACAAAAGATTTTTTTTCTTTCTTTTCTCTAAGGGTATTAGCGATCATTTTAATAGGATTAGACGGACTGTGTGAAATATTTTAAATAAGGTTGTTAATTCTCTCTTAGTGTTAAATGAAAATGAAAAAAATAATCTCTTGGTCATCACAGAGCAGGATGATGTAAGAATAATGGAATTTTTTATACTCAATCCGGTTTTCCTGGAATTACAGGCTTCTATTGATGAAAAACATATGGCTATTAAGACATAAGCTGCTGCTTCTTCAGTTGATTTCAATAGAAATAAGTATTACTCTATCATCATATAAGTTTAGTTTGTAATGAAAAAATGGTATTCAAATGATAGTTTCTTGAGAAGTCATTTCCCATATGTAAGTAAAAATTCATTCAAGTATACGAACTTACGTAATTTTGGATTATTGTTAAGGCTGTTCATTTCTTTACGATTTATTTAATGCTATTTAATTTATTCAATGCTCTGACCATAACATTTCTGAAGATTCCAAATGCATACAAGGTAAACTTCACTTTTAATCATAAACAATGAGTCAAACTTAATTTTTTTTCACATCTGTTTATGAAAAAGTCATCTAAAGCTATTGAACCTTACAATAAAAAAAGATCATTGTAAACAAACGAATAATTGAAATTTACCAATAAAAATACTTCATGCCATTTATTTTTCCAAAAATAATTCCATTTTCATTACTTTGTACAGAAAGTAATTTTTTCATGGAAGCAGCTATATTGAATTAGCACAAAGCTCGACAATGAACTAGCTAGCACTCTGAGCTTACCAATTTCACTAAATGTGATGTAACATAGCTCTAAAGTACACACCAATGAATGTGGTGCTTGGGTAAAAGTATACAGGCTGAACGTGCTGACAGTAAAATTAGCTCAGAAGTAAATGCACTCTCGGTGTAAGTTGAGATAATTTACAGTGAATTTCTGAAATTTGATATGTTTATTTTTACATTTTTGGATCAACTTACAATAAAATAAACATAAAAAAAGCACTATTGGCAATCTGTGTGTATTTTACATTGTTAAAAAGAATACAAAATGCAGAAATTAAACATATAATTGTAAGTTTTGATATAATGCTGAGTTTCACAATTTTAGAATATAAACTAGTTTATGAGTTTCAGGTGCCCTCTGGAGAGGGATGTATAACCTCACTTAAACCAGCATGCCAGTTTTTAACATATGGAAATATCTGATTTTATGGTCTCTCCTAGATAGACCAATATACCAGACAATCTGTGAAAAAAAAGGCATGTAGATCGATGTATAGAAAATGGGATAGAACTAAAGGTAAGGAATATATATACATGTGTGTGTTTGATGGTTTCCCAAGGAAATGGTGATAACATATAAATATGTATAGCATGTAAAGGATTTTTCACAATTTTTATTGATGTTCTTAGTAACTCTAGATAAAGGAAAAGCTGTTGAGAAAGCTCGTAATTGCAATTTAAAAATTTACAGATAACCTGCATCCCATTTCAAGTTGATTTTAAAACAGATAACCTGTGGGTATTTTGCAGGAAATTATAGTAATTAAATATAGATCTATTTGATTCATATAATGATATATACATAATAGTATATGTTATATTTGAATACATTATTATTATTTTACAATTTTTAAAATGAAAATATAACATACTGTCCATCCACCACCTTCAGTTTCCATATCACAATATACAAAAAATGGCCGAACTGCAAATTCTGGTTGGATTCTATAAATTCCACTCTTATTGTAGCCTGCTTCAAGTATTTCTTGGCAATCTCTAGATATATGTTTCCTTGAATCTGTTAATTAATATAATGGGCTTACTAATTGCAATGTCTTAATATTTTCAGAAATACATTCTGAAATTTTACTAAAATATAATAATAAACAACAACAAGAATAATAAAACTTATAAAACCAATTGGCTAATTGATTAATAAATAACATCATAATATAAGCAATATAATATAAATATCTACTCAAAAGAAATAGATGAACTGAATATACAATTCATATATATTATTACCTGGTGGTAAAGGCATGACACATGTCATCTGAGGTGTTTCCTGTTCAGATAAAGTGTTTCTTATAATAGAAAGAATATACTGTTTACTTGGCATATTTTCTGTTTGATTATATATCAATCTGAAAATAAGATAAAATTAATGTTTTTAAAAATGACCATATTCATTTACTTCAGTATATTCAATATAATAATAGCACACGTCTATTAATACTAATTTTTTATTCATATTTAATTTCTGTTACTTTTTCATTTTGATTTATAATAATCAAAAAGAAATCAGAAGCAAAATATAAAACTATTTTTATATAATTATGAATCTATTAAAAATTATTAGAAAGTAGGATGATTTTTCTATAGAGATTTATAATTAATAAATAGCCAATTAAACAGCAGACTTATGTGAATAGTATTTAATAGCTTTCATTGTCAAGTATTACAATAATTTAAAGGATTTTGTTGTTTATATTTAATTAATTAAAACAATCACTATTAGATAACTGGTTGTGTGTACAAGCATTCTATCATATCAAGAACCAGCAAAAAACTCCATCTAATTTAATAAAAAACAAATGTTTTCTTTCATTTTTATTAAATTTATTGGAGATTTTTGCTGTGTTTTGGTATGATAGTATGTTTGTTTAATTAATTAGATATTATTATATAATTATTGGTAGTTATACATACTACCTATAATTACCAATAATAATATTCCTATCTATTATTTAGATAGGTCATTGTCCATATAATTAAAATTTATGTTAAAATTTTCTTTTGTAAATAGAGAGTATCAAAAATTACAAAGTAATGATACATACTCTTTTTTGGTGTATATCATTACTAGCATGCTGTAAAAACCTGAAAATGCTAGGATAATAAAGATGTAAACTGTTTCTTATGATAGAAAGAATATACTGTTTACTTGGCATATTTCCTGTTTGATTATATATCAATCTGAAAATAAGATAAAATGAATGTTTTTAAAAATGATCAAATCACCAAATCATTTTCATCAGACCATTCATCCAAAAACAGATTGTTTTTTGGCTGAATGATTTGGTGAAGTAGTTGTATATCATTAATAATGATATACAACTACTTCACCAATATTTTTTGTTGTATATCATTATTAATGATATACAACAAAAAAAAAAACAAAGCCAGATATTCTCTTAGCTTAAGTGCTAAGCTCTTAAAGTCATGTATATATTTAAATTTTTGCTGCCTTTCAATTTAAAATTTTATGCATATGCTGTATAATAAAGAAAACTAAATAATTTGGATAAATTTCTAACATAGAATATTTTTTATGGTTTAATTTAAAAATCATTAGCTGAATTATGAGCAACTCTAAATATATTTTTAAAATAAAGTACTGTATGTTCTATTAATTATTTAACTTGATTAGGAAAATAACATGGTCTATTAGATTCTATTGTCATATCAATTTATGCTGTTGGTACAGGGAAACCTTGCTTAACAAGCACCTCGCATAATGAGCAAAACAAATTGTAAAAAAATTACTCGCTTAACGAGTGAAGAGGAGAGGGAAAGTCCCAGATTGTACACATGCTCCATCAGTCTGCATTTAGCACTCATTCCACTAGCATCTTAGTGTCACTTGTGATTGCACATTTTTCCAAACTTGTGTTCACACATATTATGTATACACATCAACAACCACATCCTGTTATATAATAAACACGCCACACAATATGCCAAATTCTTGGGCTATGTAAAGGCTAAAATTAAATATTAGAAATTAATTAATGTGATGAAAGATAGGTATTTATGCTGCCATCTCATATTAAATTTAATAATTGTAATTATTTACAATTATTAAATTTAATATGAGATGGCAGCATAACTGCCTACCTCTAGTCAAATTAATTAATTTCTAATATTTAACTATAGGCCTTTACATAGCCCAAGAATTTGGCATATTGTTTGGTATGTTTATCAGATATATTATATATGATTTTTTTTGTTTTGTTTTCTGCAAATCAGATTCGTATTCCAGGTTGGTTCATTCCATGCTGGAAAAAAATGATGATGATTCATGCCCCTTAACAATGTATATTGTATATTTTCTTTGCATAAACGTTATACATAAAATATTTGAGTATTTTTTTTCCAGCATGGAACGTATTATCATATTTTACATTAATTTATACAGGAAAAATTATTTCACTTAACAAGTGATTCGCATTAAGCCCTGGTCACACTATGCGATTTCTAGCCGCGCAGGCGACTGCAACTGCAACAAGTGCGAGTCGCGCNTTTTACTAAAATATAATAATAAACAACAACAAGAATAATAAAACTTATAAAACCAATTGGCTAATTGATTAATAAATAACATCATAATATAACCAATATAATATAAATATCTACTCAAAAGAAATAGATGAACTGAATATACAATTCATATATATTATTACCTGGTGGTAAAGGCATGACACATGTCATCTGAGGTGTTTCCTGTTCAGATAAAGTGTTTCTTATAATAGAAAGAATATACTGTTTACTTGGCATATTTTCTGTTTGATTATATATCAATCTGAAAATAAGATAAAATTAATGTTTTTAAAAATGACCATATTCATTTACTTCAGTATATTCAATATAATAATAGCACACGTCTATTAATACTAATTTTTTATTCATATTTAATTTCTGTTACTTTTTCATTTTGATTTATAATAATCAAAAAGAAATCAGAAGCAAAATATAAAACTATTTTTATATAATTATGAATCTATTAAAAATTATTAGAAAGTAGGATGATTTTTCTATAGAGATTTATAATTAATAAATAGCCAATTAAACAGCAGACTTATGTGAATAGTATTTAATAGCTTTCATTGTCAAGTATTACAATAATTTAAAGGATTTTGTTGTTTATATTTAATTAATTAAAACAATCACTATTAGATAACTGGTTGTGTGTACAAGCATTCTATCATATCAAGAACCAGCAAAAAACTCCATCTAATTTAATAAAAAACAAATGTTTTCTTTCATTTTTATTAAATTTATTGGAGATTTTTGCTGTGTTTTGGTATGATAGTATGTTTGTTTAATTAATTAGATATTATTATATAATTATTGGTAGTTATACATACTACCTATAATTACCAATAATAATATTCCTATCTATTATTTAGATAGGTCATTGTCCATATAATTAAAATTTATGTTAAAATTTTCTTTTGTAAATAGAGAGTATCAAAAATTACAAAGTAATGATACATACTCTTTTTTGGTGTATATCATTACTAGCATGCTGTAAAAACCTGAAAATGCTAGGATAATAAAGATGTAAACTGTTTCTTATGATAGAAAGAATATACTGTTTACTTGGCATATTTCCTGTTTGATTATATATCAATCTGAAAATAAGATAAAATGAATGTTTTTAAAAATGATCAAATCACCAAATCATTTTCATCAGACCATTCATCCAAAAACAGATTGTTTTTTGGCTGAATGATTTGGTGAAGTAGTTGTATATCATTAATAATGATATACAACTACTTCACCAATATTTTTTGTTGTATATCATTATTAATGATATACAACAAAAAAAAAAACAAAGCCAGATATTCTCTTAGCTTAAGTGCTAAGCTCTTAAAGTCATGTATATATTTAAATTTTTGCTGCCTTTCAATTTAAAATTTTATGCATATGCTGTATAATAAAGAAAACTAAATAATTTGGATAAATTTCTAACATAGAATATTTTTTATGGTTTAATTTAAAAATCATTAGCTGAATTATGAGCAACTCTAAATATATTTTTAAAATAAAGTACTGTATGTTCTATTAATTATTTAACTTGATTAGGAAAATAACATGGTCTATTAGATTCTATTGTCATATCAATTTATGCTGTTGGTACAGGGAAACCTTGCTTAACAAGCACCTCGCATAATGAGCAAAACAAATTGTAAAAAAATTACTCGCTTAACGAGTGAAGAGGAGAGGGAAAGTCCCAGATTGTACACATGCTCCATCAGTCTGCATTTAGCACTCATTCCACTAGCATCTTAGTGTCACTTGTGATTGCACATTTTTCCAAACTTGTGTTCACACATATTATGTATACACATCAACAACCACATCCTGTTATATAATAAACACGCCACACAATATGCCAAATTCTTGGGCTATGTAAAGGCTAAAATTAAATATTAGAAATTAATTAATGTGATGAAAGATAGGTATTTATGCTGCCATCTCATATTAAATTTAATAATTGTAATTATTTACAATTATTAAATTTAATATGAGATGGCAGCATAACTGCCTACCTCTAGTCAAATTAATCAATTTCTAATATTTAACTATAGACTTTACATAGTCCAAGAATTTGGCATATTGTTTGGTATGTTTATCAGATATATTATATATGATTTTTTTTGTTTTGTTTTCTGCAAATCAGATTCGTATTCCAGGTTGGTTCATTCCATGCTGGAAAAAAATGATGATGATTCATGCCCCTTAACAATGTATATTGTATATTTTCTTTGCATAAACGTTATACATAAAATATTTGAGTATTTTTTTTCCAGCATGGAACGTATTATCATATTTTACATTAATTTATACAGGAAAAATTATTTCACTTAACAAGTGATTCGCATTAAGCCCTGGTCACACTATGCGATTTCTAGCCGCGCAGGCGACTGCAACTGCAACAAGTGCGAGTCGCGCTCGTCTTCTCGTGGTCACACATTGTTCGTTGACGTTGCAACTCGGAAACACGTGACCCTATAATAAACCAATAAAATTACAGTAGCTTGTTTTTGACTACTTTCGTGAGTTTGCCAATATTTTACGTTCTACTTCAGAGTATTTACGGAATTTTAGCCACTTTTCTTATTAAAATAGCAAGCAGTTCCTTTTCTGGAATGAATAAAAGAAAAAAGGCGATTATTTTAATAGAGCTGGCGAAAATACATGAAAAGATAAAATCTTCGATAAAACGAAGAATTAAAATCCCACAGGTATT